TTTTCGCCCATTGGAATGCATTGCTAGATTCCTATTGGCTATTTCAATTTGCAATAGCCAATAGTAAACTAGCATTGTACCCGCCCTCTGCTGATGGAGAACTGCAGCAGAGGGCTGGTACAATGCTAGTTTACTGCAATTGCAAATCGAAATAGCCAATAGGAATCTAGCAATGCATTCCCATGGGCAAAACATTATTTTTTTTTTCTATTCTGACACGGCTCTTTGTCAGAATAAAAAATAAAAAACAGCAGTGTTTCTCTCCTTGGCGGCCGGGAGCGGGAGACTCCCGGAGCGCCAGGGAGAGTTTGCTGTTTGGAGATCAGTGTCCCTGGTTAGCAGGTAACCAGGGACACTGATCTCTCTGCAAGTGGCCGGAGCTAGCCGTATGATCACGGCTGGCTCCGCCCAGCTGTCAGAAGCAGGCTGTCGGCCGGCCGCTCTGCCTGCTTCGGCTTTCAGCGTGGCTCAGTCGAGGCATATGCGTTTGGCTCGACTGAGCCGCTCGGCCATGTTCGGGAGCTGTACGGGCTATAGTGAATAGCCCGTACAGCACCCCTTCGGTTCTACTGAACCGAAGGGGTCCTGGGGCCGAAGCTACGGCTAGATCCTTCAGCAGCTTCGCGAATAGACCCCATAGTCTCTAAATGACTCTGTAACAACAGGCAATCTACCTGTTGTTATAGCTGTTTCAATAAAATAATTCAGAATACAGCTACTAGCAATTATCCTCATAAACAGCATCTCTCAAAGAGAAGTCTAAGGTAGTGTTGGTAAAACAGGTGAACAGCTGGAAGGATCTAAGGCCCAAGAACAAAGGGCCACCTCACTGGAAATAGACTACTCTGGTAGTGATTAGGGAGGGACTGCCCACAGTAGCTGGGTTTTCTATAGAAGCTGTGTGCTTTAGGGGCCTGCACATCGCTTTCAGCAGTGGAGGGCCTCTCGCCTGGCTGCAGATCACTTGTGTAGCTACTGCTGCCTTACCAGGTGTGGCTTCTATAAGCATCTAAAGGGAGGGAAGCCAGCAGGGAATGTTGACAGACAGAGCGGCATTCAGGTATTCTGCTCGGTACCCCGTGGTACCGAGCAGAATAAAAAATCAGTGAAAATAGTCACACACAAAAAAAAAGGTTGAAAAAAAAAATGTAAAAAAATAGTAAAATTAATAAATAAAGATATTTTAAAAAAGAATAAAAAAAGAAAAACAATTGGGCGGAGCTAGCAGTGACACCTGCTCCAGCCAACTGTTTTCTATTGGCTGGGACCTGCTATAGTCTTCTAGCAGGTCCCAGCCAATGAATACGTCACGTCATGGCCGGCTCCGACATCATTACAACTGGGCGGTGCCAGCCATGAGATCACGGCTGGCTCCGCCGTGCGGTCATATGCAGGGCAAACAGCCATCCTTCGGTAGGCTATTCACCCCGCTTCAGCTGTCACTTCGGCTCAGTCGAGCTGAAACATATGCCTTCGGCTTGGCTGAGCTGCTCAGCCGCCTTCGGCTCCTTCGTGAATAACCCCCTTAGTCTTTGGGGATGGGCTCCTTACAGTAGCTGAGTCTTCTGGAGAAGTTGCGTGCTATTAGGCTCCAGCCCAGCTGCCCGCACACCAGTTCTGACAGTGGAGGGCCTCTCACCTGACTGCAGATCAGTTGCCCATCTACCTCTGCCTCATTAGGTGTAAGCAGAATGGAAACTCTGGCTGCCCTGGTCTGCTGGATCACATTTTATTTACATCATGTGGATGACCGTGTGTGTGTCGCTTACCTGGGAAAGAGATGGCACCAGGATGCACTGTGGGAAGAAGACAAGCCGGTGGAGGCAGTGTGATGCTTTGGGCAGTGTTCTGCTAGAAAATCTTGGGTTCTGCCATTCATGTGGATGTTATTTTGACATGTACCACCTACCTAAACATTGTTGCTGAGCAAGTGCAGCCCATAATGGAAATGGTATTCCCATAAGGACAGTGGGCTCCTTAAGAAGGATAATGCACCCTGCCACAGCACAAAAATGGTTCAAGAATGGTTTGAGGAAAACAACAATGGGTTCAAGGTGTTGACTTTGCCTGTAAATTCTGATCTATGGAGGCCACACCTCGCAACTTACAGGACCTAAAGGATCTGCTACTAACATCTTGGTGCCAGATACCACAGCATACCTACAGAGGTCTAGTGGAGTCCATGCCTCGTTGGGTCAGGGCTGTTTTGGCAGTAAGGGGGACCAACTCAATATTAGGCGGGTGGTTATAATGTTTGTGCTGATAGGTGTATATATTTATCTGTTTATGCAACTATTTGCTTGCAGTTCAGCTTACATTACATATGCATAACAAAATGGTAATTTTGGCACTCTTAACTGATGCAACATGAAAATCTCAGTTGGCAAAATAGCACTAAGGGAGGTGATAGCCTCCATACAGGATTTGACAATGGTTGGAAAAATGGACAGCTCAGGGATGTTTGGTTGAAACTGAAAAAAGATATGACATCGTATGGCCGGCTTTTCTACTAACCTTTAGAAATAACCCAATAACAAAGATAGTCTGTCATAGTATTAGCTACAGGACCATGAAGGTGACATTTGAAATCACTGTACCGCACTGCACTTACACTTAAGATTGATAGGATAAATACATACGTACAGTCAAGTCTACAGAATGGCTTTCTAAGATCACATGACAGCTCGAAGGCTATTTAGCATATATAATTCAGGGCTACTTTGACAAAACTAATAGAAGAGATTGTACTTCAATCATTTATAGACAAGCTGTATTTTACAACACATCTCTGCAATTAAGGAAGATGTCCTTTATATTTATGTAATGACAATTAATTTGTCTTGCACATAATACATGAAGGCTATTTGTGTTGCTTAATAATGCATTACAGGAATTTTCCAGCAGTATACAAAAATGTTGACTCCATGTCTGTAGATCTTAATAGAGTTTTGCATGTAATCTTACTCTACAAAAAACACTGCCAAACAAAACTAGTACAGAGGATCAAGTATGAAATGTTTTTTATCTGCG